GGGTATAGAAACAAAACACTTTTGGTAGCGTGCTCCCTCGAGTGCGGGAGGTTGTTGGTTCGAACCCAACGGGGCCAAACCTAAGACTTAAAAATACGGGTCAACTCGGGGTCAAAATAATGTGTCCACACGGTAGGCTAATATGTCTACCTGTGGACTGTTTCCTTGTGATAAAGCACGTTGATAATCAGGCTCAGCTTGTCGGTCTAGTACAAAGTAGGCCTTATGTTCTGATCATATCACATTATCAGGTTCTCGTCCTAAATATGCATTTAATTTGCCTTTGAACCGTAAACAGTCTTTCGTCATCACCATCACTATATTTTTCTTTGATGTCGTCAAGCAAAAGTGTAAACTATCAAGGTGGTATAAGCGTAAATAGAATATAGAATATAGGGCTAGCTTCACTCTAGTAATATCTTATTTTCCAAATTACAGGGCCCATAAAGAGCATAGAAATCAGATACAATGATAGAAGTAGTTAAGTCAACTATAAGACATTACAATATTATATAAATATTGCCATAAGCCTCAGTCATAATCGGAGTCAAAACAAACAAAAAACACTTTGATATCAAATAACAGTATCAAGACCTGTTCTTCTTACGTCAAAAGAACTACTGATAAAATAACCAAGTTTTTCCATAATAGTATAGTTTTCTTGTGCTAACAAGTTGAACAAAACACATTTGGAAGATTCATCTAAATCATTAAAGTTCTGACAAGTTAGTGCTAGAAATATACTGAAAGAGTTCATATCTTAAATTATCATAAAATAAGCATTCAATTAAGAAGTGACGCTCATCCTCAACGTTATGAGCTGTACAATTTAAACAGAAGCGCTTAGATCTATCAATACGATTTTTGGAATATCTGGCAGTTTTAATTCTTAATGGGTGAGCACTGATTCTTTATTTACATATAGACTTCCTTTTTTTAAATCAATGATATCTAAATATTTCTCTTCTTGAAAACAATCTGTAAATGAAAAATATGTGTCAAGTTTGCCTTTGTCAGTGTTCATTGTTTGATACTTTAGATGATTCCAATATTATAGAAAACATGCAGTCACACAATTTATGTTTAACAAACATACATAAAGTACCGAGTAATTGATTAAAATTCGGTAATTAAATCTCTTTTTGTATAAATTCTATACTGGAAAACCATGTGTTGTCTTTATAAAAATGTAACTGTTTATTACATATATAGGCATCATATAATAATCCATCTTTCAAACCTTCTTGTCTATGACAATATTTCAACATTGATAAGATAATTGGAAAATGAATTGGAAATCTACCAATTTCTGACATCACAGCTATATTACTTGCTTTTCTATTAACACCAAGAATATATTTCATAAATTTATTATGTGACCTTTCAGTAGTATACTGAGAAAAAAACCTTATCTAAAATATATTCATTTCTTTTCTTACATACAGCTGAATCAGTAGTAAACATTCCCTAAATTTCAGAGTCATACAAAAGAATTGGTTTTATTGTATGATCATACAGATGTAAAAGTTGTAATACTAAGATAAGAGTAAGACAAACACCTCTGTAACATTAAACATGCTTTAAGTGATTTTTTTTATATAATTCATCTTTACATTGCTTTAATTGTCTTGAAACATGGAATCACCATTTTTTACTATACATGTCTTTATTAATAAAATAAAAATTTCTAGATATATTATGAGTTAAAAGTTTATATTTAATCCCTGCATGATATGGAAGGGAATATCCGCCAAAATTGTGCATTTAATTCTTAATTTGTAAAATGCAATTTCTTAATTTGTTACATGCAATTTCTTAATTTGTAAAATGTAATTTCTTAATTTGAAACACGTATTTTTTCCATCAGTTACATGAATTTCTTCATTTCTTGAATTGTGAAATGTAACAACTTAATGTATAAATGCAATTTCTTAATTTGTTAACGTATTTTTCTTCATTCGTTACATAAAATTCTACATTTCTTAATTTGTGAGAATGTGTCAGTATAATTGTTTCCGCTGCCAGCCAATGAGAAGTTCAGTTTCTCAAGAAAAGCTACAAGTTACAAATCAACAAGTTACAAATCAAGATTTAGAAGTTTTACAAATCAAGAAGTTTTACAAACCAAAAATGAAATAGTTCCACAATATTCCGCAGGAGGTCGCTGTGGATCCATGTCAACTCGTACCTTAGCCAACTCGTACTCAACCAACACGTACCCAATATTTACCAACTCGTACTTCTACCAACTCGTACTTTTAACTATCTCGTACTTCTACCAACTCGTACTTTTGACTATCTCGTACTTCTACCAACTCGTACTTTTGACTATCTCGTACTTCTACCAACTCGTACTTTTGACTATCTCGTACTTCTACCAACTCGTACTTTTACCAACTTATGCCCTATATTTTATTATGTATACGTATTAAAGTTTTCATGTACTTTATATAATATACAAAATACAATAAAGTACAACTTTATCAATTGGTAATATGATGCAATTTGTTTTCAAATCAGACAATCTAAAGTTAATCATTCGTCTTTAGAAGTAAGTGATTATATGAAATTGTTTGAACGATAATTTATTTCATTGTATGGTGACATATGGTTGGAACTCCCCTTTTTATATGACTTGCATGTGTTGGAACCTACGGACCTACAAAAATAGAATGGGGTTGTTTAAATGAAAAAATAAATATAGAAGGGTTTATGAAAACACAGATTTCGGAATAAATGTTGCACCAAAGTCCGTTGAGTTTTACTTATTAACTTTGTGAAAGGCAAAACAAGAACTTTTCCATAGTCAAATAGTCGCTGTCTTTTGCTAAGTGGGGTATCACTAGAGTAAGACATTTTTGGGATCGTGTCATGATTTGTTGACGAAGAGCTGGTTAGCTCTGTTCTATATTCGTCTAACACAGTGCTAGGACTATAGAGCTGATTGTCTAAGACGAATGAATAACTTTAGATATTTCTGATTTGAAAACATATTGCATTAGATTACCAATCAATAAAGTTGTTCTTAATTGTACTTGTATATTTCTTTATTATATCAAAGAACATGAAAACTTTAATGCATATCAATAATAAAATATTGGGTACGAGTTGGTAAAAATATGAGTTGGTTGAGTACGAGTTGGCTAAGGTACGAGTTGTCATGGATCCACGGAATATTTTGTAAAACTTCTTGATTTGTAAAACTTCTTGATTTGTAACTTCTTGATTTTAAATTTGTTGCTTTTCTTGAGAAACAGAACTTCTCATTGGCTGGCAGCGGTAAAAATTACACATTCTCCCAAAACGTGACACAAACAAAGAAATTACATTTCATAAATTAAGAAATGTCGAATTTCATGTAACGAACGAAGAAAATACGTTAGCGAATTAAGAAATTGTATTTACACATTAAAAAGTTACATTTCACAAATCAAGAAATGTAGAAATTCAGCTCTAATTCATTAAGTCATTTCTCACCTATTGTTGCACGTAAAAATATTTTCAGGAACATGTGACGTTTGAAATTGAAAGGCAAAACAAGAACTTTTCCATAGTCAAATAGTCTAGAAGTTAGTCAGTTTTGTCCCTTGCTCCAGAATTTTTTCAGCTACTTTATTCCAATTTCTGAATTCAAGCAAACATAAACTTTGAATTTCCAATATCGCAAAAAGTAAATAGATGTCTATGGATGTTAACCCTTTTGTGTTAGATTGCTGACTCGCTGACTTTGACTGATTATCTCCTTATTCATATCTTAAATATTAGTTTAATATAAGGTTTTAATTTAGTTCATTCCTCCTTCCCTTATTAACATATAACCACTCCCCTTTTTGAAAGTTGCTTGATACACTACTGATTAAGCTAAGATAATTTAAGTTGACTTCTATGATTAACTTCTTCCGTTTGAACAATTCATCAAGACAAATAAAACAATTGATATTATAAACAAGGTGTAAATTACGTGAATTTAATTTAGGTGGGATCATGACATGATTAAGGAAACAGTTGAGGTCTTGCTTTTAAAATTAGAACTTTTTAAAACTAATCAAAGAAAAAAATGTGTACGATGTGAAGTTTTAAGGAAAAGGACAACCAACTCATACTGTTTACACAAGCAAGGGTCACATGAGTATAGTCATTCATATGAATTATAGTGACCTATACTTCTCCAGTCTCGTATTAGTGAAGGGTGATTGTTTTATATAAAATCATGTCTGATCGAAAATCGAACATTCATTAAATGCATTTTCCAGTCTTCAGACAGTGCAAAAACTTTTTACTTTTTTTCTGCTGTCTCTTTACCACCACTGTGTCCACAGAACCTAGCCAATTGATTAAAAGTTTTTAAAACACTGGTATGTTAATGTCTTTTAAAATGTGGCTGAAGTATTTGACATTCGACTTGAGAAAGCAACTGCTAGTAGTCTACATCAAGATGGAAATCTGTATGATTTATTCGCCAGTCATCAGATCTTGGGGTCATCCGTGTAAACAGTGCGTCAATACTTTGATTTTTAACTGAAAATTAGTCAGAAACATAAAGACACAAATAAACAGCCAGGAACATGTTAATTTCACCATTTCAATATGACAATATAACAATATGTCGTTGGTATTTATATAATTATTTTGTTGTTATTTTTGTTGTATTTTTGATTGAATTTGTAAAATAAATACATGTAGTCAAAATAAAATCAACTTTTGAAAAAGAAAATATAAGTATGATTTTTTTCCCTTGTATATCAGAATAAGCCAAATCAATATACTGTTTACTATTTTAATTTGACAAAAAGTTATGTTGTTTCCTAAAAAATAAATGAAAAGACCGAAAGAGAAGTATTTTCAAGGAAAAAACAGGTCATTTGACAGAAATGGTCATCGCCTTGACTGAATACTTCCTCAATTTCGGCAAAAAAATTCCCTTGAGCCATAAACATATGTAGTCCGAACATGTAAAGAAAATGATAATCTTCTCTTCTGTAATATGAATAAGTGTGGTGTTGTGGTCACTTTACTTTCTAGTTACACATGGATATATATTAACTTCACGTCTTGTCAATAACATAAAAAGGGTAAGTGTTTTTTTTTTTTAATGTAAGACAATTTGAAGTATTTAATTAATACTTTATATTTTAATTCATTATTTGATTGAATAATTGTATGACTCTTTTATGAATGATATGCCAGTTGACAATGCAGTTAATATCACCAAACTAATTTTAAAAATAGTAATAAAAGGTATTAACAAAAAGACCAATTTCCATGGTAAATTCAAAAAGAGGAAGACTTAGTCCATAACAACTGACAAAATCAAACGTTAGATTTTATCAACAAACGGAAAGAATGGAAAACTACCGTCATATTCCCGACTTGGTACAGACATTTTTTATAATAAAATATATACAATGCAAGTACATGAATTCGCACTTTTTTTAAAATTGAGAATAACATAAAGAGCAGATATTGCGACAATAACATTGAATATTGTGTAAATATTTATGATTATAGTGTCATTTCATGTGTATTGTAAATCAATGGTTGTATAATCACAAGCTAAAGGCGATATTTAGTTCCTTATCAATCATGGTGATCATTGTTTTGTCACATTTATTTCGTATGTTCACAATGTATATATAATATGAATATCATTTACAGAGGTCAGTTTATCAGTTTATTTTACTTCTCAGTTTTTCATTTGACATTTCGGTGAGATTTTGATTTTTAAATGGTTTGTTAAATTATTGAGACAGATTTTTCATAAGTTTGATTTTATGTATAATTGTCCAAACCATTGCATTGCCATATCTAAAATGTAAGTCCTTACTATTACACGCATGGTTCATCTTTCATTTATTCATAGCTATTACACCTTATATTTCAAAATCTTAATTTTTGTTAATTTTGATTTAATATGTTTTTAATTTTTGTTTCGTTATTTGTTGTTTTAATTTCTTCTTTTCTTCAACTTCCTTCTAGGGAAAAGTTTAGTCTAAAACGGTTATTCTGTTTTTCTCTTCTGGTTTAATTTTACAAATAGAACCTTAATAATAAAATAGTTAGTAGTTACAATGTTTGATAGAATAGAATCAGTACTGAAAGGAATTCAACATTGCAGTTACTATATCTCTGGGTTTTTCTTGTTGCTGACTGAAAAGTGATAAAATACAATTTTTTTCTGGTGTTACTGTTTTATTCTTATTTACACCTACCTGTCGTTAACTGAAATTGATGTCCTGCATTTATCATGCTTTTCAATAACATAGGGTCAAATCTCCGTTATATACGTTCATGAAAAGTTATAAATAACACATCAGACATGAGATAACTGTAAGATAATAAACATAAAATTGTAAATGCTGTAGAGAGTGTTAATGTTACGAAGTTTATACGCTGCGTAAAAATTTTGCTGAAAAAGGTAAAAAAAAAAATAGTTCAAAGACTAATATGGCCAGGTTGCACAGAAGGTTCTTAAACAATAGAGAATGCTCTATACTGAAATTTAATATTTGAAAAATGACTAAGTTCCTGAGTCTGGAAAATTGAGAAAAAATCCCCAAACAATTCCATAATCATAGCAGGTGCACAACTTCAACATAAAAAATATGTACAATCTTCCTGTGACGTTTCAGGGACCTGAGTTGAAAACTGTAGGAGGAGTTGATTACACAAAACTTGTAACCTATTTCATACATTTTCCTGAAATTGAATAAGTTCCCAAGTTTTGTAAAATGAGGTAAAAATCCTCAAACAATTCTATGATAGCAGGTGCACAACATATGTGCAATCTTCCTGTGAAGTTTCAGGGATCTGGGTTGAAAACTATAGAAGTTGATTACACAAACTAGGTACACATATTCGCTCGCCCGCCAGCCCGCACATCAGCCCGACATCACCATACTATTAGCAGGTTTTGGACTTCGTCCAGCCCAGCCAAATACAGTGAGTTTAGGTACGAATATTTCAATCTCATCAAAAAAGTATACGCGTACATTCAACATATATATGACATCCTGTGAGGTACAAGGTCGTTGATTTAAATCTGTCGTAAAATTCAGAAACAAAAGTTTTATCCTAGATTGAAAGTTTTGCTGAAAAAAAAACTTACTCCTTTTTGTCAGGAAAACGGCTCAAATAATTCCCTAAAAATTGTTTATGCACAAATTCAATATCCTGTCATGATTCACTGTTTTTCAAAAATTGAAATAAATGAGATCATACAGGTAGCTTCCAATATCAAAAGTCTGTATCGATATAAAAAAAGCTAAATTAATAAATACACTTTTAAAAATAGAGCAAATTAGAAATGATAATGCAATCATCAAGTTCTTCAAATAAGTCATTGTTGACCATTAGACATATGTTTAAGATCATTTTCATCAAATTGAAAACAAAAATCGTTCAAGGTTAACTTTTCCTGAGGGAGATAATCATACAAGTCAAGTTTGGTTGATGCACAATAACATAATTTTATGAACCGAAAATTTACAAACGAAAAGATTGATTGATTGATTGTTGGTTGCTTAACGTCCAATGGCAAACAGTTCATGTATATTCAGGGCGAGAACACAAAAAAACAATAAATCCTGTAATAGAGGCCGTCTGGGATGAGGGTCAGGAAAATAATGACGGCCACTGGAAAATGAGGGTATATTGAATAGGGAAAAACATTTTGCCGTGCAAAAAGTCACATACGGACACCTCAGAGAGTTGATGCAAGGGTTCTTAACGTGCAGAGAGAGAGAGAGAGAGAGAGAGGCACTCTTTTTACATGGACCATCGAATTTAATGTCCTATTCTGACCGAACGTGGCTGCGTATTTGTACATCCCGCACAGCCAAACGGACGACTCACTTTGCAAGGGTTTTACTGTCGGTCGGAAGAAAACCTGAGTGAATATATTTCTATTCCCCAGCCACCCTTGGGGGTAAACGAAATGTATCATTTAAAAACTGCAAAAGCATGATAGTCCACCAACAGCGTTACGGGCCCAATGATAGTAAAAACAAATGATATGATCATTTCCTTTGTAGTAGCATGTCAAAACGTGTCTGATAAGTGACAATGTTGTCATGTTGAGAAAACCCATTACAAAGTAGATTTATTGGGGTCAGTAAACCTGGATTGTCTTACACTGACTCACCAGTATTGCTTTACTATTATAGTTCTTTTTTTTTTTACAAAAAAGCTGTTCTCAAAAGATAGGGTCGTATGTAGATGTAAAATGTTTAAAATTTGACAATTAGTTCAAAAGTCCGAAAAATGAAAACAATATACTCACATTCAAAATGTAAGACTTAGTTTTACTTCTTAATATATGAAGGTAAAGTTTCAAGGGCCTGGGTTATACAGGATAGCTTGATTACACACAACAATAAAGTGCCTTTTCATGACCACTTGCACGAAGGAATGCACGCTGGTCCAAAATGAAAATAATATAGCACATTCAGTACTCCTGAGAACAACGCACGTCAACAACTCAGCAGGTTCAACAGATGTTTACTGCATAATTCATAAATATATTAGCTAAATTAATTTATGATGACAACCTCCAAAATCGCCATTGTAAAAATAACATCAATCAGTGGCCACATAAATACAAAACTCAAATTATACTGACATACAATTTAGTCTTAGATGCATGATTTTTTTATGTTAGTTGTTATTGGCTTTGAACTAGCTGTCAGTAACTGCGAGTACTCTCGGATCTGTACTTAGTGTCTTTTTGTTGTTGGGATGTACAAGTACCCGGCCACGTCCACGTGTTATTGTTATATGTATTTCTATTTGTATCCATCTGATGAGTTAAGCCTTTTTCAACTGATTTTTATAGTTCGTTCTTATGTTGTACTGTTACACCACTGTCCCAGGTTAGGGGAGGGTTGGGATCCCGCTAACATGTTTAACCCCGCCACATTCTGTATGTATGTGCCTGTCCCAAGTTAGGAGCCTATAATTCAGTGGTTGTCGTTTGTTGCTATGTTACATATTTGTTTTTCGTTCATTTTTTTGTACATTAATTAGGCCGTTAGTTTTTTCAATTGAGTTATTTTACATTTGTGATTTCGGGGCCGTTTATAGCTGACTATGCGGTATGGGCTTTGCTCATTGTTGAAGGCCGTACGGTGACCTATAGCTGTTAATTTCCGTGTCATGTGGTCTCTTGTGGAGAGTTGTCTCATTGGCGATCATACCACATCTTCTTTTTTATATGTATCCGTGTCGGGTCGGGTTGTTGTCTCTTTGACACATTCCCCGTTTCCATTCTCAATTTTATCCGTACCATACTTGGAAGTTGTAATAATTAGGGAAAAACGAAAAAAGGTTGGACATCACTGAAATCTGACAGGTCAGATGTAGAATATACATTCTTCATAAGTATCAAATATATACTGTTTCCAAAGTTGTAGAGAAAATCTAAACTCTGCCGAAAGTCTGTTTTAACTTTATTTTACATCCTGGTTTTTCTTACCCATCACATGGTTACTAATACAGATTCTGCAGTAAAACTGACATCTTGAGGTCAATTGTTACAATCTCAAATAAAAAATACACCTCTGCGCCATTAGAATCTATCAAAATCGGACACGGGACGACTATCTAACTGATCGTAAAAAAAACCAACTTAAAATCCTGACTTTTGGAAACGCATAAAAACATGTGGAAAGATGAAATTGTCTAATATGTATTCAACTCTGTATTTACATAGCTTGACTTGTTGAACATAATATACAGTTAAACGCACTACAAAACTGAAACCATAGGAGCTTTATTCAGTTCTATGCGTATTGCAAATGACAGAAACATCAACGATTGTTTACTAGCTTGAAATACTTTTCATAAAAACGCCAAACACTTTCATATCAGCTACTTGTTTTTATCGAATTATGATTAATCTTTATGCTGTTTCTATTCACATGCTTACCACACTTCTCTCTGCATGAAAAAAAAAAATACCCGACTTACTTGAGGTATTTGGGCATAATTATTGACATCGCACGAATTTCTTGACGCGAGATTTGAAATCCATGCGGGATTTGTTTTAGTTTTCTTTTCTTCGTGACAAAATTCTTTA